GCACTTGTTCCTAGTAGCTTCTTGTTACTACTAGTAAGGCACTTGTTACTAGAAGCGATGCACTTGTTCCTAGTAGCTTCTTGTTACTACTAGTAAGGCACCTGTTTCTGTAGGTTGGAGGCGATTCTATGTTCGACGCCTTGATGAAGCGTGAGGGCTTAGGAGTCGTGACCTCAGAAGCGAAAGCGAGATCGAGATCGTGGTTTCCGGTCGGTCGGGATTTCTTCCTAGCAGTCTACTTCCTACTAGCGATGGCCTCCAACCTACTAGCAAAAAAGAGGAAAGCAAAGGACAAACAAATTGTTTAAAGTAAGACAGGAATCAATAAGCCATAAGTCAGTAGTAACAAGTGCCTTACTAGTAGTAACAAGTGCCACGCTAGTAGTAATAAGAAGCTAGTAGGAACAAGTGCCACGCTACTAGTAACAATAAGCCATAAGTCAGATAGGAAAGACGAAAAGGACTGAGAGAAGAAGAGAAAATCCAAACGCATCCTATGTTAAGACCCAAACAAGAATAACATGGACTCAGTTGCCCTGTTCAAAAGCAAGATAGTTTTCCAAGAACGTACTTGCAACATAACCTATGAAACCACAATTCTGGATCTGAATAAACCTGTTGCGACTTGCGACAAACAAATCAAAACAAAGAAACAAGCTACCTCTAGCTACTACCTCTAACGGCCTACCCCACCCCGCGAGCGCATGCGCAAAAGAAAGGAATATAAAACACATTCACAATTGGTATAACTCATCGAACTCGAACAAGCCTTGGGTCTCCTGCATCAATGGGCGCCATGGGCGCTGCCGTGATAACAATCGAATCGCCGTTGGCCTCGGCCTCGCTGGCCTCGTTGGCCTCGCGGGGCACCGGGAGGCGCTGCTTCAAAGTTGTCAGACTTGCAAAAGCTACGAACGGAACAAAGGGCATCGCTACTAGTAACAAGTGCCTTACTAGTAGTAACAAGAAGCTACTAGGGACTCCTGGCATCGCTACTAGGAACAAGAAACTACAAGTAGCTAGTTACTACTCCCAGACACTCAGTAGACAAACTTACTAACCACGATTTTCCGTCGAAGTGAGGTTTGAGTAGTGAAAAAAGAGGACCGTCTAAGAAATGACACCTTAGGAACAAAGTTACCATAGCTCCCTTGAAGGGGGGTGGACGTAAAAACCCTTACCTATGACTTCTTCCTTAAACTTCATCTCAAATGACTAGGAACAATAAGCGACTAGGAACAAGTGCATCGCTTCTAGTAACAAGTGCCTTACTAGTAGTAACAAGAAGCTATTAGAAACAAATCGACTTCTCTTCTCTTCTCTTCTTCGACTTCTTAAACTTCATCTGCTCTTTTCCGAGAAAGTTAAGTTAAATTAACTACTAGCTTCTTGTTATTACTAGTAAGGCACTTGTTACTAGTAGCGATGCACTTGTTCCTAGTAGCTTATTGTGTACAGGCACCTTTACGTGTCTGTCAAGGTGCAGCTTTTTATTCTGTGCCGCTTCGCGCAAAGAGCTCCTGGTGAGATGTACACACATTTCGACTGCGCAGAGGAGCGCGAAACACCGTGCGCATTTTCGAACTTCACCACACAGGAGATCGCAGCCGTTTTACTTCGATGCGCAGATTTGGTGGCAGGCGCAGCGAACCGTGAACTTCGGACACGGAGTTTGTTTTCGGAATTTGGTGAAAGTTTTGAGCATCCCTACTAGGTTGGAGGCCATTGCTATTAGGTTGGAGGCCATCGCTACTAGGGTGCAGGCCATGGCTCTTAGGTTGGTATTGAGTGAAAGTGAAAGCGGAGTTTGTGAAATTTTATGTCAGCTGCGAAATGCGTGCCAGGGCTGCACTTTGTGAACGTTGAAGTGCAGATTTCGTGTCAGGCGCAGCGCTTTGTGAACCCTACAGTGCAAATGATTACACTACCACGACCACAATACCACCACCACCACCACCACCACCACGACTACCACCACGACCACTACCACTACCACTACCACTACCACACTACCACCACTCTACCATTATACCACTACCACTCGACCATTATACCACTACTACAACTACCACCACTACGACTGCCACAAGGACAACAAAACCCTTTTTCATTCATCATAGTAACAAGTGCCTTACTAGTAGTAACAGGTGCCTTACTAGTAGTAACAAAGAAGCTATTAGATTTAAAATAAATTTAACAGCATGATCTTCTGCACGCCATTTGGAGTCTCTTGCCGGGGTGCCACGCTACTAGAAACAGGTGCCACGCTACTAGAAACAAGTGCCTTACTAGTAGTAACAAGAATAATTTAATTAAAAGACAAACATGTTTTTCTCTTTCGACATTGGAACGACGTTTGTTGGTTGTGTTTTGTATTTGCCTGCTTCTCTTTCTATCGTTATGGGAAATGGAGGAATGAATGGATTCATCGAAAGACCATCACAATCTTTCCCCAGCGTTGTTCCTTGTAACAATGGCCTCCGACCTAATAGCAAAAGGAATCTATAGGAATCTAGTAGCGATGGCCTCCCAGCGATGGCCTCCAACCTCCTCGTTTAAGTTTCAATCACGCTGCTTCACCGACCCAAACGCAAGATGTATCGATCAAAATTCAAGATCGGACGAACCAAGGGTTCCGACATCGAATATGCCCAATTCTCTCAATGCAATTGAGGCATTAATGTGCAGAGTACTGGTTTTGCAAACAGGAGCCCACCTCAGGAAAAGTGCTCTCTGGGCAAGACCTCCAAACCAAAAGCAGAGACAGATGGAAGGAATGATACCCCGCCAAGTGCCAATCTGGCAAACGTCTTAAAGTCCAGAAATTTTGAACGCCCTCTTGTTCAATTTGCACGTGGGCCTTCGACCGATGTATTTTTGAGAATCCCTGTAATGACAAGCAAGCAAGAATTAAGCACTTATATCAACTTATATCCATGTCTCTTCTTTCTTGCAACAATTAGTAACTAGGTCCTCCACTTTGCCAGAGTCTTGAGCACGAATCGACCCCGCCTTGGGCCAGCTGTTGCTCCTGGCATTGGCTTGGGCCTGTGCCAATTCTTTTGTGCGGAAACAACACGCCAATAGGACCGGATAACCCACATATTAACAACTTCACCAAACACAGGAGCGAACAATGGGTGGTTTGGTGGTTGGTGGACGGGCGGCGGGAGGAGGAGGAACAGGAGGAGGAAGGCTGAGCGGATACAGCACAGCGAAACATATCTCGGAGGCTGTCACGATCACACAGGGCGTACATCCAACACCTTGGAGAGCACCAAGTACTGTGGCAATTGGTTGGTGGCAGTTGGTTGGCGGCAAGCGGGAGGCGGGAGGAGGAGGAAGGAAGGAAGGAAGGAAGGAAGGAAGGAAGGAAGGAAGGAAGGAAGGAAGGAAGGAAGGAAGGAAGGAAGGAAGGAAGGAAGGAAGGAAGGAAGGAAGGAAGGAAGGAAGGAAGGAAGGAGGAGGAGGAGCGGATACCACACTAAAAACAAAAACCCCACACGTCAATGTGGGGAACAAACTCCTTCAGAAGCCTATACTGAGTTGCAGTATCAGCTGTGAAGCCTATACTCAGTGAGAAGCGCTGAACCTTTGAAGCCCCTAAACTCTAAAGCAAGGAACAAGAAAAATGATTCCAGAAACTTTCTAGGAACAAGAAGCTACTAGGAGCAAAGGGCATTGCTACTAGTAGCAAGGACGCTACTAGTAGCTCTTGGCCTTACTACTAGTAACAAGGATGCTATTAGGCTTCAACTGAACAGTGTGTTCCGAGGCTGCCAGACAGCACCCAGTTGAAGTGCCTCAAACCCGAACCTTGCAGCCAACAGCCTGCCAGTGTGAGGATACGCTCTACAAGGAGCCTCTCCCTCTTGTAAGCGCTGACCTCCAGCCTAGTAGGGTCCTTGCTCCTAGTAGCGATGCCCTTTGCTCCTAGTAGCGATCGCCTCCAACCTACTAGCTCCCTCTTGTAAGTGTCTTTCATTCCTCTTCATAAGGCCAGGAGCCCCTAGTAGC